TGATCCATTCATTTCCCTATATATATATATATATATATATATATATATATATATATATATATATATATATATATATATATATATATATATATATATATATATATATATATATATATATATATATATATATATATATGTACATTTAACACTACACACTACATTCTTGGTTCGCTGACTCACTCATTCGCCTCTCTGCTTTGTGGTTTGAGTTATCTGCTAATAAAACTGTAGTCGCTGCTTCTCTTTGCCTTCTGATTTCAAACACCGTTGAGGATTATATGATTTTTTTTATTTTTATTATTATAAGCTTTATTCAACATCATATTTTTGGTACAATATTGAATTCTCAGCATAAAGTATTTCAACAAGTTTCCTTTTCTTATATCTTGATCAATCCTGACGATAAATATTGAGTGATGGCCAGTTAGATGTTAGGAGTTCGGTAATCGACATATGAATGATGTTCATTCGTTTCAATGTATATTGCAAGCCACCATGATGTCGCTGGTTGTACCTTCTTATAATCCGTACAGCGAAAGGTTGTAAACTTTTCATAAACGTGCCTGAATAGGTTGTGAGCTCAATAGACATAATAGTGTGTTAAAACAAACAAGAAAACAGATAACTTGACGAAATATCTAGATGGGAGGAACAGGTAGCCCAGATATTCAAACAGGCCGCCGAGGGTAATTGGTTAACGAAGCACAGCCACTACAGATATATTCACAATGTTTTACAGTATACAATGTATCATATTCTTATTATTTACCATATTACACTAATATTTTCTATATAAATACTTAAATCAAAAACAACATAAAAAGTTTGATCTATAAACTCTTTATAAAAATTATGAACATTTTACTGATTTTATCTTATAGACACTTTTCCCTGTGAATCAATTTCATGAGAATGTGATTTGAAAAAAATGGATGATGATGATGATAATGATGATGATACCCTTGATGACGTTTCTACGATGTTCACAATTGTACACGCGCTTCTTTTTTTTTTAAAAAAAAATGTTTAGAAATACTAGTAACAGTGGATTAATTACATAGCAAGACGTAAAAGTTGTAATTTGTGGGTGTGGGTTTTCATTATCAGTAGAATTAATCATGATTTTCATCAATATATAATCGATAAAGAAATAAAAGTCAAATAGTTTATATTATAAACTAAGGGTGGGTAGACAGCTATTGATAATTACATTGTATTGAATAGTTATTTCATTTTAGTATGAGATTGCTTAATAGTACTCATCCATAACCCCTTATGAAATATTAAACTCAAAATTATTGAATTTTGTGACAAACAAGCTAGTTCTCATTTGTCACTTAACTAAGAACAATTCGTTATATATACTGTAGGAATTAATTATTAATCACAGACTTTCTATACTGATAAGAGATAAATACTGAAAATTGATACTCATCATAACCAATTATCATTTTCTAAAAAAAAATCTTCATAAAAGTATAAACTAACGTACAATCATTTTATTTTGATTAAATGAAGTTTCGAATTATTAAACAGTAGATCTAATGTATATGTCAGTCTCCAAGTGTTCAATAGCTATTTGTGGGTCATGTGTGCAAATATCTTTGATTTGTCTGAACCCTTTCAATAGATAATCTATATAAGTTATTGAAAATCTTAGTCATTCGAAAGCATATATGATTAGTTACTCGTTGTGATATAAACATAAGTTATTTGAATTCATTTGCTATTGTTTACTTGAATCTTCTCATTGATTTAAGTCAACAATACCAAGTGAATTTAAACTTCACCCTATTGCACAAGCAAGTAGCTATCAGGACACAATAGCTAAGTGGATAACATGATGGAGTTTGAAGCGAACGGTACTAGGTTCGAGTTCCAGAGTGAATATTAACTCTTAAATGCAGGTACATCCAGCTGACGAGCCCAAATTAGGATTCCACTGCTAGCCACTATCCATCTTTGTTCATAATAAGTGATTTGTTTAGGGAAATATTCTGTTTGATGAGCTACAGGCAAACTAAATGAACTAAACATCGTGTTGGTTGTTTACTTGATATGATAAAAATAATATAATTTCATTGTATAGAATATTGATGTTGTAATCCAAGTTGGATTCAAATCCCGCCGGCGAGAACATGGATGCGCACCGCTCAGGAGTTTTAATATTCCTAGATGTGCTCTTCTAATAACTGTGAATTTTCACTCTCCAACAGTTCAAAAACTGTTATGTTGGGGTTTCATAATGTATAATGACTAGAAAATATAAGTCATTATATGATGAAGAACAGTCTCAAGAAAATTCAATGTATTTTGAGGAAAATTTTTATTTCCAGTTACAAATTATGTCTTGATATTCGTGAAATCCTTCTTGAAATTTCATTAAACCATTTAGCTAAAACAAAAGTATACTTTACATTATGTTAATCATTTCATACCAACTTCTATTCTCCATTAGGAATAACAGGCGTAAGTAAGTAAGTAAGTAAATGAGTCTAGTGAAATAAATTTAAATTAATAGTATTATACCTTAGAATCTCAACTTTTTGAGATAGTCATCAGTAAATCTTCATAGATTAAGCATAGTTATGTAGTTCTCTGTAAAAACAAAATCTTATGCAGATAATGTTTGTTCAATAGAAATTTCCAAAATGGAACTATTGAAGCATATGATTGAATCATTGAATTCACATTTAAAGTACGATAAAAAGAAGGTTGATACATTCTTTTGAAGTATCATCATCATCATCATCATCATCATCATCATCATCATCATCATCATCATCATCATCATCATCATCATCATCATCATCATCATCATCATCATCATCATCATCATCATCATCATCATCATCATCATCATCATCATCATCATCATCATCATCATCATCATCATCATCATCATCATCATCATCATCATCATCATCATCATCATCATCATCATCATCATCATCATCATCATCATCATCATCATCATCATCATCATCATCATCATCATCATCATCATCATCATAATATCACATAATCTGTTGATATCTCACATTAGTAGACAAATCAAAGTTAAAAGGGATCCTTTATGGTGAAAACAGATCAGAATAGATAATACTTAGTTTTTTTTAATAGTTTTGATTTTATAATCCTTAAATTGTAATAGTTGAATTTATTAGTCGATTTAATCTAGACCACTATTGGAAACCCGTTAGCACCAGATGGCTGTTTCATCCTATTATGGGACTTCACAGCAGTGCTCATCCATGATCTCATATGTGAGAATCGGACCGAACATCTTAAGTCTCGCACGTGAACGCTCAAACTCGAAACCATTGAGACGTCAGCCAACGGTGTTAATGTTTAACTTCAACAAATCCACAAAATTGAACGACCGTCGATCATTGTCTTCAGTGAGTAACTGCCTCATAACAAACAAGGTCTAGAATTTTGGTGTTCACGCGCAAAATTGAAGGTCTTTTGTTCGATTCCCGAGTGCTCGATCGTGGATGCGCTCTGATGAAGAGTTATATACTAGAAAGAAATGGCCTTTCCGGGCTATTAGGTTTTCAATGATAGTCAACTCATGAATTCAACTACTAAATTACTACAATCTCCATAAATCCTCATTCCTATTTTATTGTTAACTAATTCCCATTTAATATTAAGTGTATGCTTGTTTTAAAGAAGAAAATTCAGTTCTTTTAATAAAAATTAATTAATTATTTATTTATTTTAACACATAAGTATAGGTACAGGGAGGCACCAAATACATATGCGCCACACAAATCTCAATTGATTTGTGTGAGGGCTGTGATACTGCCCGGGTGCCCAAACCGAAGCAGGTGGTTTTCTTAGGGGGCCACACCCCGAGCCTTTGACCTGAACGTCTGACCCACAAGGCAGTGGAGCATCGTAAGGAGATGCAGTCCCATGGTAGCCGGTGACCAACGATTGGTTCATACGCCATTTGTTCCTTCAGGATACTGGAGCCCATGTGCACCATTGGTTTGGGGTCCGGTTAAAGCGCCGGACATTCGCTTTTCGTCCTCTCATTTTTGTAAACAACACCCGTGGTGTGAGAAGGCAGTGAGTAGGACTTCCCTGGCAGAGGCTATATACGCATGGCCATGTGAGAGCATTTCGAGAGGGAGAGCGGACTCTCCCCACTCTCGGCCGTACCAGGGCATTTGGGGGCTAATAAAAATTAAGTCATATATGAATTACTCATTTAATTATGTATTTCATCAATTCAAATGTTATTCAGTTGCTATAAAAGTGAATTTTAATTTTCCTGAATTTGTGTAAAGGTGGTTTTAATATACTGGTATTTAATATTAGAGTTAAAATTAATTCATTACTTAATTGTGTGAAAAACTTTCAACTTAGTATATAGGTATTATTCTCCATCTTCATAATCGAAACAACCCAGTGAATATCAAGTCTGTCAATAGTTTTAAGACTAAAGTAGGGAAGTCCTACTCACTGCCTTCCCGTGACACGAGTGCCGTTTATGAAATTGAGAGGACAAAAAGCGAATGTCCAGCGCTTTAACCGGGTTGGTGGACACGGTTCCAAGGATTCTGAGGGAACAAATGGCATATGAACCAATTATTTGTCACCGGTTACCATAGGACTGTATCTCCTGAAGTTGTTTTACTGCCTTGTGGATCAGACCTTTAGGCCTCGGGTGTGCCTCCTTAAGAAAACCACCTTTTTCGGTTTGGGCATATGAACAGTATTCCAGCCCTCACACAAATCGAGTGATTTATACGACACATGTATATTTTATGCTTCTTCGTAACAATGTTTATGTGTGCAAAATAAAAAGTAGATGAAGAAATGTTTGTATCTAAAACACAATCGTTCAAATGTAGAGATGTTTCTTGGCTTAATAGTAAATAAATATAAATGTTTATGATATTTATAAATATTATAATGAATGTTTCAATCTCAAACCAAATTAGTAGTATAGAAATGTATAAATACATATATATTCAATGATAACTTACGACATGCATTATCCTGAGAAACATAAATTGTACCACCTGGGCAAGCACAATATCCTGCACCTGGATGACATGCACTATTCACTACATGTATACAATCACTATCCACTTGACATTTTAAATTGGTTAACACTACAAAATGAAATATAAATACATATATATCTTTCTAAATGCAACAATTATGTATACAGTTAAAAGTAATTATTATGTCATTTAAGTTACAAATAAATAACACCGTTGAATACCGACTCAGTGGTCTAGAGGTTAAACATTTATGTGCGAGACTGAAGGCCCTGGCTTTGAATCTTACAAGCGGGATCATGGATACGCACTGCTGTGGAGGTACTGAATTTAAGTCTCAATGTGAGCACTCACACTGGGATGCAGGTATTGTGGTCTTGAATCTGACTCCATTTAAATCATATGAATGATTGTTATTGAATGATCGCTATTGTGATATACATGTCGTCAATCCTCGTATAAAATTATCGACTTAACTTGCGTTGGTGAATAACGGAATTAAAATAAGTCTAATACGAGAATTGATGTTTGAATAATAAGTATATTTTGCATACTCGATGATCTGGACAGACAATGAGAATGATGAAGCAAAGAAAACGAGTAGATGAGAGTGAAGCGAAATGATGCACAGCGGAGACGGTGTACGAGCCAACTCGATTTAGCCAAACAAAAATAAGCGACAGACATGTAATGAGTAAGATAGGAAATCCACACATATATGTTTACATAATAAAATAGTCAATGTTGACAAGCGAATAATTAACATGGTCAAAATGTAACTCAAGAAAAATGAATAAATTTTCCTGTCCAGAAACTAGAATAAGCTATGTGAACTCAACATAGCAACCGACACTATACTGACACATCCAAATGATTAGTCCAATATGGGATGAAAATCATATCCTGGATTACACTGACAACCCCTATTTAACTACAGAAATAATTTCTATGTTTATTATTGTTTAGTTGAACAAATTAGGTCTATCATTCAACAATTAATACTTCTCTCTTGCTAAGTATCCCATTAATATACTTTATAACATTTACAAAAAATGAATCTGTAACTGTAAGAAGGACTTAACTCTGTGGAACCTTTTGATCATAATCAATATAAAGATAAGAAATTAATTTAATTTTATTCTACTTTTCTTCAAGTCATCTGATCTAATAGTCCTTCTTAAATGAACTGATAGAGTTTATCAAATTACAGACTAATGATGAGTTAGATTTTAATTACTTTCTATAACATTTCTTTATCAATATTATTTTTATTACTGATAATGTATTTCAGTATAAACAATATGTTAACGGATTTCGTTTATTTTATAGATCTCGACAGTTTGTTGTTGTTTTTCTTAATGCCGAAGAAATAGTAGTTTAATAAGTGTCAATGAACATGATATCTAGGTTTAAACTATTTCCAACTATCTAATATGTGAATATGGTGCATTTGATGTGAAGTAACTTACATCAGTGGTTATACTATAAATTGATTAGAATTAATATACTTGACAAACATGACATTAGTTACTAATCAATGATCATTCAATATTATTAATTCCAACTACATTACTTATTTATATGTACAAGTTTTTTGGATGTTTAAGACTGAAATCGATCCATTTCATAAATCATTAGCTAACTAAACTCATTAGGTAAGTGGATAATGTGATGGTTTATGAAGAGAACAGTACTGGGTTCGAATTCCAGAGTGAGCATCAACTCGGGAAGTTAGGTACATTCGGTTGATGAATTCCAGATGTGACGAAACATGCGTCTCAGATTCTACTGCTAGCTACCATCATCCATTACTATGTCATTTTTTATTTATCAATTTAAACTTTCTAGATTGCGGTTTATTGTTCGATAGTGTTGTCAACTATTCCATCAAATATCATAAGTTTGTTTGATTTCTTAATGACATATTTTTGATGAAAATATCCGTGAAAAGATAAGAGAAGATCCCAAAAATAAAAGACTTAAACTTGCTAAGGAGTAATTATCAACATAGTGTATTTTAAGGATAGATTTTTGCCCTGAATTAACTTTTATTAGTGATAAATGTAATATCCATTTAGTTCTTGGCACACATACGTAGTGTTTTAAACCTACGTCACCTAATGTCGCTATCACCGAATCTCACAGTTTCCAACTAACGTTCTCCGACTATCTAACATAGAGAATGCGCGTTATTACTATTGTTTTTATATCGGTTATAGTTGTTGGTCATTTTCAGGAATATCCATAATGCAAACTATCTATAAATTTAAGAATATCCATAATCAATGAAGAAAATGCACATGTGTTACGTTATATTGGGAAAATAACTTCACTTATACATGTAATGTAGTTAAGAATGAGTATTCAGTGAAGAGTAAAAGTAATGGAAGGTGCTTTGTTAAAGGTTTCTTTCATTAAATTACTATATCCTTATTGACTTTATTAACTCGATGTCTCCATATATTCTTGTTAGTTATTCTGTCTAGTTGACCTCGAATTATGTGATTGATAGACAACTTCCTGTTATATCACCGATACTAAATCATGTGTTTTGTTTAGCAGATTTCATTAAGTTATATGGTGTCATCAGCTCTCGAAATAACTCGATGATTATTTATTCGGTTCTTCTGTATCACTAGTAAAAAAGATTCGTGAAGACTACTGAATCGCGAACAACTGTTGGAATTGTAACTACCAGTATCCCTTACTAGTCCGTGAAGGGAACTACAAAACTAGTTAACAATTTGCTATAAATGATGTCAGTTGTTAAAAGACTAGTAAAAATTCCTTCCCATACTGAAGACGATTCTTAACATACTGAAAACTAAGGTTATACTGTTAAGGTATTGTAGACAATAGATTACACATTATATAATCATTGCACATGAGTGACAATAAACTATGCAACATTTTAACTTCATAATCCAAATTGAAATCAATCTCGTTTCATTTCACAAGCTAACTACACTAATAGACTTCAAGATACATAATATATTTATTTCAATTTGTTTAGCATAGATAACGTTCTTTGTTTGCGATCGCTAACCAGAACTCCTCCCGGAGCCCCCCTGGGGCTACTGTCGGTCCTATGCCCGGATAAAGGATGAGGCATGAGCATGGCGTTAGCGACCCCATCCCGTAGAAAACAAACTTGCTAAAAAAACGCCAACACTATGTTTGTGATATCGATATTAATTAACCACTCGGGAAAATATAGGTGAATTAAATTAATTTTCTTCAAAACCACTTTAAATTATCGTACGTATTTGAGCACACTTATATTCATCTTCTGAATGTCTGAAAACAAATTACACTTTGAATAAATGTTAAGTATTTATGCAAGAGTTTTGACTGACTTTAGTTAAACAGACAACGAAAATCAACAAAAATGGGTAGCTGTTCCTTATTTATATGGTATTCTACTGCAATGCACATCTGCAACCCTCTCCGGGATCGAAATTAGAATTCAAATTTATGGGGATAAGCGCTTAAATTGCAGATATCTAAGTTAAGATTATAATGGTTTACACTTTATAATTCAGTCAATTAGTGATTTTAAGCGATCATTATATAATGTCATTCATGGTTAACTGCTTCATCTTTGATATTGTTGTACTCCACTGGTCGTCGTTTCTCAATGAAACTACAGAAATTGCCTCTCAAAGTTAGTAACAAGTAGATATGTGACGACATTTATGTTGATACGAAATAGCTGTTTGTTGCTTCCAGGTTTTCAAAGGTTGAAAAACTAATTTAAAGTGTAAGGTAGAATTGTAAGTATAGGGTTGTGGAGATTGTTGAGTTTCATTGAAATCGTGAAGCGATCAGTGTTTGACCATCATTAAGAATCTGGAAGCATTCGATGGCCGTTTCGTCCTAGGTTGGGACTCCTTAGAAGTGAACATCTACAACTCCATACTTACGGATAGGAGTTTAGGACCTAAAGTACTGCATTCGATCTCTGTGTATGAGCTCGTGGATGTTTTCTGCTGAGGAGTTCCATATCAGGACGAGACGACCGTCCAGTACGTTTAGATTTTGAACGGTGGTCTAACATTGATCGATTCATGATCTCAATTAAGCATTAAACAATAAATTGGTTCTACTCGATCTGAGGTCCTGTTTATTACAATATGATTTAATATCAGTCATCTTTATCCATTTGAAATCTAATAAGTAATTCTCTACATAAGATACACTTAGTTTGATTCGAGGAAATGGTGCATTCAAATTGAATATTGTAAAATGTACTTAAACAGTCAAATAGAAATAACAAAACTTAAAGAAATCTTAACTGTAGCTTATTTCGCCAGGTTATATGGTCTTCTGCTTTACGATAATAGACTTGCCCAGCTGTATATTTTATAGAATTGGCTCATCAAGAGAAGTTGAATGAATAAACACATATAGATTTGGCGAACTCAAACAGTCTGTCTTTATTAATGATCCTCAATATCAGACGACTGTAAAGAACCACATTTGGTTTGGCTGAAGTATACATTTTTTGAACAGCTTTTTTGACCTTTATTATTTCCCCTGTAGAATCGTTTCTGTACTTCAGTTTTAAGACCAGTAATTTCTTCAAAATACTGTTTAATTCTTTTTTGCTGAAAATTTAACCGGACACTATTCTTAGTGAGAAGATCAATTCATCTTCACTGGTAACATCAGAAAAAAGAATCATTTTGACACGATTATTCAAGATTCCCACCAAGTTCTCTTAGTGTTCCATTAGTACACAAAATATAAAAATCCATCTATTGTCATATTGTGGATTTTCTATGTATGGCTTATTATGCTTAAATTTTATGGCTGATAACTTCGAATGTATTTGATGCCCCCCCACCCTGTACTAATATTTATGTGTTCAAATAAATAAATAAAGTATAATAATGCTGATACATAATACAAATTATGTATATATTTTACAGTTTACAACACACAGGCTGATCTTAGGTGAATAATCATTGAAAGCTAAAAAGCATTAGATAGATGTTTCGTTTCATTGTAAGACTCTTCAAAAACATTCAATATCAAAAACCCTAATCGTTATCGAACCCAAGATCTAGAAATTTTAAAATAAACACTTCACTATAAAACTATTCAATAAATATTACATAATTTCACTTACATGTTTTACAAGTAATTCCATAACTTTCTTGTATTGATACATAACCAGGTTTACAAAAACATTCATTTTTTTCTAATGAACACATACTATTAGCAACACGTCGCATACAATATGCATCACCTTCTTGTAAACATGGTCCTGGAGAAACAACATGAAATTCATCAGCATTAATCCATAATATTAAATAAATTAATAGAATATAATCATTGATTATAATAATATTCATGATTTAATTATAATGAACTATTCTATACTCCTTTCATATTGATCATACGTAACTGGAAACGTATTATTATTATTATCATTACTATTATTATTATTATTATTATTGTTAGTAGTAGTAGTAGTAGTAGTAGTAGTAGTACTGATAGCAGTAGTAATAGTAGTATTATCCCATTACAAGGAACATTAGAATGTATTCTTTATTTATATTGACTAGAATATAAAATCTCAATAATTAATATAAAAGTTTATGAATGATGAAAAACATTTATTTTTCCAGTGAATTTTCATTTGTAAATAGTTTACTAATTAAAATTAACCAATCTAAAATCATTCTATACTTGGATTGGTAAATTGATGAGTGTTCGTAGTTCGGTGTGTATGTGTGTGTATGTGTGTGTGTGTGCGTACAGTGATAGATTAAATGTATATATATATATATATATATATATATATATATATATATATATATATATATATAAAGTTTTACCTGATTTAATCGAATTACCAATCGGGAAATAGAGATTGGAAGATATTTTTAGTAGGGGTTTTGTGGAGAGTTTTAGTCATTTTAATAATTGAATTCATAAGTCAATTGAAGCTAGACCATCATGGAAAATCTGGAAACACTAGATGGTCATTTCGTCCTGGTACGGGACTCCTCAGCAGTGCACATCTAGGATCCCGCCTCGCGAAATTCGAACACAGGACATATCAGTTTCGAGCACCAGCACTTAACCATTAGACCAGTGAGTTGGCCGGCATCCAATGGTGTTAATGTCTAACTTCAATTAATCAACGAAATTGACCGACACATCCACCATCGTCATCAGTGAGTTAGTATCTCACAACTGACTCGGTTGAACTCCAGTAGTCACTACTTCTCACTAGGACTCCAGGAAATATCTCTTGAAGCCAGCCGCTAGTAAGCACATGTTGATTATTATCAGAAGGGAGTTTTGTGGAGATTTTATTAATTTAATAGTTGTATTCATTAGTTAATTGAAGTTAGACCATCATGGAAAACCTGGAAACACTGGTTCGTATCTTGCGGTTCGGGATCGTGGATGGACAATGCTGAGATGTCCAATACTAGGACGAAACGCCCGTCCACTACATTCAGATTTTTCATGGTGGTCTAGTTCCAATAGCCTCATGAATTCAACTATAAGTTATTTATTGTGTTTATGTATATATATCAGTGTGTTTCGACAGTTGGTATCACGGACCTATTTTAGTCAAACAACTAATGAAGAACATCTAGTAGTGAACAATTGTTTCGTCTTCTTAGTATGGGAGTTCTTATGAGTATCCATTCACAATCCTCTAGGGAATTAAACAGATTCTTCAAACATCACTGCGATAATTTGACCTTATCGGTTACTCAGTTGGTATATATTGGTCTATATTTCATACCTAAGACAATTCACTATATCGCAAAATCATTGTTCAATACCACTTTTAAGGAACTGTCTCACCTAAAGCTATAATTGAATTTTATCAAACTATTTAAGCTTTAAAACATTTGAATATTACAAAATTGTGGGTTGATCGTTAATTTTAATTTTATTAGGTGAGATTGTTAATTTGACTGAATTAAACTGACAAGTTATTTATTGTAGTTAGATTTAAGTTCACTTGGTTTTGTTTTACTTGTACCTTTCTATTGTTATTTAGGACTGCAATTGATCAGTTTCATGTTGGCATATGTGCATCATGTGCGGATGCCTCGATATAGCTTTAAGTGAACATCAACTCTGGGATGCAGGCACATCCAGCTGACGAGTCCCGAATAGGACGAAACGCGAGTCCTGGATTCCACTGCTAGCCACTATCCATCTTTGCTTAATTGAGATTTAAGGTTTAAATGATTGTGGTTACGGATTTTTTTAAAATGTTTACAACTCACCAAAACAGTTACATCATATCCCCCTGTTTTCACCAATTTACCTGTCTGTATGCATATGCATACAAATGAATAGGAAATTAGGACTTAAAAGTTGGATTGGATGAACATGGCTCCGAAAGTAAACGAAGTGAAACAGTCAAGGGTAATTATTAGAATACATTGTAATTAAAAATGAAATTTTAAAACAACACTAATCAATTATACTTCATTTAAATTTACTAAAACGTTTGAGGAGTATAAAGCTATAAGGGGTAAAATATTCATCATAAATGAGTGAGCAGGAATGAACCCCTGATGTTTTGATCATATTCATCTTCTCCAATTGCCAAAAACACACATAAAACAAGTCATAAAATTGACCTTAACTCAATCTTTGTAGTTTAGTCTGAAAGATTATTTAGGGTGAATATTTAGGTTTGTTGAAGCCTCACCGAAACGAAAGTTCAACTATCCCATAAACTTGAAGAGATTGAAAACATTTTGTACATTTATTAATTTGACATTTGTAATCATGGTTTATTATATTAATAATTCAATTTTTTGTAATGTATAATCCAGTTATATTTTATTTCATTGTATTCTGCTATTCCTTTGTTAATTCTATTCTCTAGACTACTGAGCCGGCATCTAATGGTGTTAATTTCTAACTTCGCGAGACCTCTATGTCCTAGGTTCGAATCTCGCGAGCACGATCATGGATGCGTACTGCTGAAAAAACACTCATAGTAAAATTGTTTCAAGATATGTAAACTGTTTACATTAAAACTAATTCGTATTATTAGACTTCAATTATCATTGTATTGTCTTGCCGTCCACTAAAATCTATTCAATTAAAAATGAAAATAAACTGTATGACATTTCTTGGTATCGTTTTCTTGCATCTTCTCATTGTTGTTTAGGACTGCAATTGATCAGTCTATAATTAGTAAATGTGCATACTATGCTTGTAATGTGTGCTACTTATATTGACATAAATAATATATGACGTTAGTCGTGAACAGAATGTCTGGTAGCAGAGAAACAAGAGGATCGGACAGTAAAGAATGGAAACAGAATGCAATTCGTATGGAAATACAAGAACAATGAAGTCTGGGCTATTTTGAGACAACTGATGGTCATTTTGCAAATTGAGCCTTTACTATATGGTTGTTAGATTTTATTAAGTTCTGTAATTTACTGTTAAATATATTCGATCGTCCCCACTGGTGTTCGTGTTCACTACATGCGGAATGCCTTGATTCTCCTTAATTCACAAGTTTCATGAACGAAGATGGATGGTAGTTAGCAGTGAAATCCAGTTTGACTCGCGTTTCGTCCTATTTGAGACTCGTCAGCTGGATGTACATGTATCCCATGTATCCGTACAACGACCGAAGAGTTCTACATTAGGATTAAGTAAGCATTAAATGCTTGTAAGTTTTCAATGGTTATCTTATATTGATCATTTCGTGGTTCCAGTAAAGTTACGAGGATCATTGACGACCATATTGACAAATAATCTTACTAATTTTAAGATACTTAAAATGCAATTGATTCATTTCATATTTGTATTAATAGGGATATCAAAATTGACCTTCAAAGATTTAGGTTTAGAAAACTGAAATATTATTTCCCAAAAAGCAATTAACCAAAGCCTTTTAATTAATGTAGATTTCTAATAGCGTAAGGGTTAATACTTATATACTATGAACTGATCTCAGTTAAAGATCTGATATAAACGAGAGAGATTTAAACAACTACTCTAGTGAGAAGTGTTGACTAGTTGCGTTCAGTCTTGCCTGGTATGAGGCAATTACTCATCAAAGATAACGGAAGATGGTAGTGAAATATCGTGGACTGTCTGAAGTTAGGCATTAAAAGCGTCGGATGTTATTTATAGTCACATCAAGCTATTTAGTATTGGACATGTAAGGTAAATTATTTCCTTATAAACTGCGAACTACTAATGAGTAGTTTGTGTTGCTTAGCATAATTGTCAAGTGAACTGTAAGTAGACGTAAAAAATTTAAATTCAGAAAAAACACTAATATGTCAATTGATACCGTCATTTATGATATAAATAACAATGTAGAACACATAGTGATAGAATTTCTGAGTGAGGAGGATCGAGTTTGGGTTCAACTGTTAATGCCTATTCAGCTAGGTTGACCTGAATTGAACGTAACTCTTATCTTGGATTCTGCTGCTACCCACTATTAAAAGACTGTTCAAAAATTTATTCCATTTGATTCATGTGCATGTTTTTGCCTTCGATACTTCAACAGTGTAGATGCTCCTTTTATGGAGTGGGTGAACAGTAGAATGAATAATTTTTCCCACTTAATTTTAAGAGCTAAAACTGAAATACACCAAATATTTACAGCTTCATATCAATTTCTTTGATTGATACATTATTTTCCAATTTGAATTAAATAATACATTTTTTATGAATGTTTAGTTAGACTAGGTACTGTTCATTCGCTGAATGTTTAGAGCACATCGATTGATATAAGTTATTTGTTTTTCTCTAAGCATTAGATGGTCTTCAAAACTCTTCATTTGAAAACCATATCGCTGCTACACGAAAATTTAAAAATGAATCCCTGAGTACTTTCTTAAGTTTCGGAATACTCCTATGCATGAGCCCTAAAATGTAGCAAAAAAGACTTGAAATATGGAAGGAAGCTTTATTTTGAGAGTAACTGATGTGGAGAACAAAAGAGTATTCATCGATTTATAATGAGCTTTGAGGTAAACTTTAACCTCTGGTAACTTCTTGGAGTAATAAAGAAAGCAATCATCCAATCAAAGTGTGACGTATAATCAGTCAATGTTCTAGAAAAATTTTGCGCGTTCTGAAACGATGTTAGTTAGCAAATATTTTCCTAACCTTTTCCAAGCTACTGACTACTATGTCGAGGAATTCTGAGGGATTCTAACGAAAATTCTCTTGAAACTAATGAGTCAGTTCTAATTCGAAAAGCCTTGTGATAAAACTAAGTAAATGCTATTTTTAAAAAGCCCATCTCTCAAAACAACGATAGAAGAGTGTTAAATTGACAGAATATTCTAGTGAGTAAAGGTTAAAGGAATCCCCAATTTCAAGTCTTTGATGTACACAACTTTAGAGATTTTGCAGTAGATTATTATTAGCCCAATTGTTCAGATTGGTGGCTAGCAATAATACATTACCCATGACTGTATTTCACTAACTCA